AGCTGTAACCACAGAGGCTCATGCTAACACCTTCTGGGGAAGTGTCATCAGGCTCAGCCAACTTGGAAACTTCTATCTTATCCCTGGAAGTCCTTTAATATTTCTGAAGCTAATTTCACTAGCTAGTTCCCCACTACAATCTTCCATCGTGGAGAAAACAGTCACGGCATGTACTATACCTTTACCTTTAGGCTGCTCTATAAACGACATGTTTTTCCTGACTATTCTCCAGATCCGTACCTGAAAGCTGTAACTGTGCTCTTTCAGGCCAAGAAACATGGAAGAAAGAAAGAATTCAGATACACATCACATTTATTTCCATTCTACACTAAATACATTGCCTCCATTATGTAAATCAGTCAGGCCCTTGAAAACAATCTGACTTGAAATAAGAAAAAAATTGCAGATTCCAATTTCAGGAAAACACAGCCTATGGCCTTTCTATAGTGATCAGGTATCCTAAAAATGCAGTTCCTAAAGAGTTAACAATTGTAACAAGTCCTGGATATGCTTTCCATAGGAAGAGCATTTCTTTCTCTTAGTTTGAGTTGAAGCATAAATTTGTTCTACCATGAGATATTCCCAGTATACCCATGAACCATAACAAGTTAAGGTCACTGAATTTCATTTTCAAGGTTTGCATTTTTTGTTTTTTCCCAACTAAAAATAACGGCATTGGAATTTGTGGTCATGGTCAAACAGTGATAAAATTAAGAACAGATAAAGCCACAACTAGAACTTTTTTTTTTTTTTTGAGACTTGCAAACTTCATTTTGTTGAAGGAGGGGAAATAGTGCCTTTTAATCAAAAGCACAAAGCATCAAGTGTTTGTTACAGTGAACAGGGAAACCAAGGCTCAAAGAGGTCTGAAATTCAATGTAGAAGACTGCTTTTCTAAACTACAGCCACACTGCAGGAGAGGTGGAAACAAAAGAACATAGCATTCATTTGCCTAAAAACATTTGTTATGAAAGTACATCACCTGCAATAAGATATGCTTTACAGTCGCAATACATAGTAATGATATTACTAGGATATAACAGGAGCTGTTAGATGGATTTTCAACTTAATCATCACCATCTGAAAATGCTCAGGCACAGAAGGGGCATAACTACATCTTACTCTCCCATTGCTTCAGCTGCACCCAGCAAAGCACATCCATGATAACCAAGAAGTTGGCTTATTATTCAAAAGATATGAATTTAGCTCTCAGCACAGCTTTTAAAGTAAATAATCCTTTGACATGCCAAACTGCTTGGAGCCTATCCACAAAGTCTCTGCCAGTTTTATTTTTTCTCTTGCCTCTTGTTCAGAGTAGATTAATATGCATTACTCAAGTTGTTTTGATTCAAATGTTTTAAAGGCTATTTTAGAGTATTAGAGACTCAACAGACTTTTAAACAATTGAGCAGCACAAGACTAAGGTACATATACTACAGTCCTTAAAGTACATTTATCATTGTCACACTTGACAAACACCCCAAACAGCACAGTCAGAAGAACTTGAGTAAAAAAAGAAATATTTCATCACGTAAAACAATGCCACACCCCGCCTTATGCAGGGTGAGTTTCAAGAGAAACACCCCTTCAAAAGCTCATCTGCTTTAATGTTTTAGCATCTACTAAGAGAAGTTCTGTAAAAGATCAAGGAAAGAAGCAGCCAGCAAAAACCTACTCAGCTTTGCAAAGTGGTCACGTTAGACTAGGGAAAATCCTATTCTGCAGAACAAATCACACCGCCCGATCACCCAGAAGCAACGCAAGGCAGAACATGGGAATCGCTCTGGAGACTCCCAGTCTCTGAGGAGGCAGGGAGAGGGAGTTGAGTAAAGCAAAGTGGACCATATCAGATATGGCAAGAGGACTGAGGACTCGTCGGAGCAATGCAGGAGCTTATACTAAACTGGAAAATGACCGCAGCTGGCTATAGTTCACTAGTACTACCATAAGAAACCAAGGAGAAACATGCCAAGTCTTAATTTTGAATGTCTCATCTTGTTAGGATTAAGTCAAGTCACTGATTAGCAAAGACAGGGCTAGAAGATTTTAGCCTAAGCAAGAAGTTATCTGAAAGGGGCAAGTGACAGTGAAGTTAATACTCTAAATAAAACTACGCCTTGATCACTTGCTGCAGCACCATACAATTTCCTTTCACACAAGGGCACTAATGGTTTGCAACACTTGTTCACAGCATGCAGCTGCTTGCTGCAGGGCAGAAAACTACAAAAAAAAGGTCACAGAAGAGTTGGTTTAAGAGGACCTCTGGGGCTCTACTGTCCAGCCTCCTATTTGAAGGAGGACTGTCAGCAATGCTAGATCAGGGCAGCTATAGGTTTGTTTAGCTAAGTGTTGAACCCTCTCAGGGATGGAAATTCCCAGTCTCTCTGATGAACTCTTCCTGTGCTTTGACACCCTCTTTGTGAACAAGTTTTCCCTAAAATCCTTTCAGATCCTCCCTTACTGCAATTCCTAGCTGTAGCCCCTTGTTGTGTCATCTAGGGCTTGAGTCTGCAATCCTGTAACTGTTCTTCAAATATCTGCAGGCTGCTATTAGATCATCCTTCACCTTCTCCTTACAGATTAAGCCAGCCCTGCTTCCTCCACCCCCTTCTCCTAGCTGACATGCTCTAGGCCCCCAACCACTTTGGCAGCCTCCACTGGATTCTCTCCAGTTTCTCAGTATGTCTTAAACTGTGAGGTCCAAAACTGGACGCTCACACAGTGCCAAGGAGAAGAGGTAATAACTGCTCTCAATCTGCTGGTCATGCTCTTCCCAATGTAACCCAGTACGGGGTTTGCCTATTGCATGAGGAGCGCACTGTTGGCTCATATTTAATTTCATATTCAAAGTCAATTTATGCTTCATACACTGTATTTTTTAATAACACAGATTTGAGAGCTAAACACCCAGAGGCTAGAGTCCATTAAAGCATATTTGAGCAATGTCTTAAATAAGTCATGAAAGCCAAAATCAGCATGGACAAGCAGAGGATAATACTGAAGGCCTTTGGAAGTTCACGTCATAGGGACTGGGATATGCATGGGAATAAATGTTCTTTCAATGTAGGTTGAAAAATGGTTCATTTGTTTCAAGGTCAGAAAGATGAGGCTCTGCTCCTGGCAGAAAACTTGAGAAACCTTCCAGTAGAACAATCCTATTAGCAAAACTTTTCTAATAGGCTTATTGACACTTCCATGCAAACATGGCCTGCTAATATTATAAAGCAGAAAGTGCCACCTCCTCTACCAGAAAGAGCCGATCCTAGGCTGCTTTATGGACAGAGAAGTTCTCTGCCCCGAGTACCAGCTTAGCTCAGTCACTGGGAAGTTTTTTTCCTAAAGAACCCCTACCAAACCCCTTTTCCCTCCGCAGATTCCTTTCCCATGGAAAGAGCGAGACAAACAAGCAGTTGCGATAGACACGTGGCTTAACATGTAAGTAGACGGTACAGAAATTATTGTGGTGAAGAATGTCTTACAAAAGCCTGTGCAAGGCTAGAAATATGAAAGGCTCCAAAAGAAACCTTTTATGTAGTATGTTATAACAAAACATTTCATATGTTGTATTATACCTATGAGGGAGGCTATAAAAATCAATGCTTTCTTCAGATCCTGCAGTCAATACAAACAAAATAATGAGTATGAATCCATCACTGGGTGGTCAGTATTGAAAAGCTACTGTACAGTACAATTTAGGCAGGATAGGACTCTTGAACAACAGCAAAAACTACAAGTCATGTACACTCAGATGCTTAAGAGTAGCAAAAAAAATCAAAACAGAAAAGAACAGAGGAGTCTAAACTTGGATGGCAACAGAGAAAGACTGCCGCATAGCAAAGGTTAGAAGAGACGCTCGTGTCATTTTAAACTGCATCAAGAGACATTCCCAAGATAAAAACAAGCAATAATCCATGCTTACATTGGTCTCTGTTAGTCAACGTTTAGAAGAAATGCCTCACATGAGAGTTGCCACTGCCCCAATGACTGGTGACAGAAGTTATCAGAACAATCCTGCTTTTATTTGAACCTTTCCATTTGAGAGTCAGTCAACTGACTGAAAACCAGCAACAGGATCAGAAGTTACTGAGCAATTTATTAACCAGTAGAGCAAGTACTACATTACAAATTAAATAATCATTGATTTGGGAAGGTACTTTACCTGCAAAGGACCCCAAACTAGGTTTAAAAGTTTCTTTGAATATTTTCATTCCGATCTTGTGACACTGAATGGCACCTTTCAAGTATGCTATGCACTCAGCCATTCCACAGAACTTCCTGTGCTCACAATATAAACTAGTAATCTACCTACTGCTATAGATAAAACCCAGGAAGAGTAGTGCAAAAAGTTGGATACTTTCCAGGGACTCCGGTCCCCCATTTTATAAGTCTTCACCAGCACTAAGAATTCCTAATGTGCAATTCTTTAGCACCTCCAGCCTTAGCATCCCTTATATATTACATTTGTTTCCTCATCCCAGCAACAGCTTGTTTATGAGAATACACTCCTGCTGCTCAACCGCACAGACCATAGGAAGAGATTGGCTTGTGATTTCCTGCAACTGTCTAGAAAGTTACAGCCCCTCTGCTGAGGGGCATGACCTTATCAGATGAGCGCTCCTCAGCCCTGTCAGGATAAGCAAATCACATTTTCTTGCATCATCTTCCCCTCTCACCTAGAGAAGGTGAAAGCAACAGTGCAAGAAAGCAACAAACAGCCACTGGGCAGGCTTCCCGCAGTTACTAACCATTCTGGTATCTTCAGCTTCTCAATAACTAGGCATTTGGAATTACCTGAAGAGCAGCTGAGTTTCATCCTGTGGCAAGCCAGGTTGATGGAAGGAACCCACTCCTTTTGTGTGGGAACACATGTGTGACCAAAGAAAATTCTCAAAATTTGACTGAACACTTATGAGAATCAAATGTAGCGCCCTGTGATCGATGTGGTCTTTTAGACTGAAGGCAGCAAAAAAAATGAGGCAGCATATTTAACACTGCAGTACCTGACTGGAAGACGTATCTGGCTAAGCCTTGCATTAACTCTGCTGGCCAGGTAGGTGGTGCCGACTCCCCTGTTTCTCTCTTTAGTCGAAAGGTCAATTCAAATCCGAAACCACTCGGTCCCTCTGTTCCTGTAAACCTGGAGGAAATGAAAAATGAAATGTCACAACATACTACTTGTAACCAGAACAGGCTTCAAGAGTATGACCATCAAAACAGGCTAAGTGTTCTCTTCACACGAAAGATAAGTTTAGAAATTCTCTTATTTCAGTCTACGTTAGTTCGAATGCCATAACAATGTTAATTATCTTAGAAATTGTATTACATTAGCTAACCTATCATAGTAGTGTTTTCAGTCAGAAGAGCTCAGTAAGTAAAATTCATAAGTTTTGTACTGATAGTTACCCTAATCACAGTTGCTTGAATGGGCATACCAAAGAAAGTGCAAAACGGGAAAGAATGTTACTCTGCACTCGTGAAGTCAATTTTCCATACATTGAGCAATGGGACACAACTTGAAGTACTGGACAGTAGGACTTAAGGTTAAACAGTTCAGTGCTTTGAAGCACAGCACACAGCATTTTGTGCTGTGAATGGTCAACAGAAAAAAAAAAAACCTCAGAGGATGCAGGCAGAAAGTTAATAACCTCCCACACAATGCATTAATCCTTCAATTGCTACCACATACAACATAGACACATTGTGGCGCCTGTCTACAGTTTGCATACATTCTCTTTGTGTATCTAGGAGGATAACAATGAAAAAGCATTGACCGTGGCAACTACTGCAGATGAAACAAAATATTTGGCCACTTCCTCATTTGACAGGGTTAGGTGCCAGTTTTTGTGGTTTGCTCTGATAAGGAGAATCAAGTCGTATTAGAGATATCAAGGATACAATAAAGTAGTAAATAAAAGATACCTCGTTCTATTCTTGGGGTGGAGGCAGGGTCGGACCCAGCTGATCTCCAGAGGTCCCTTCCAACCCCAACCGTTCTGCGACTCTTTGCTTCAGCAAAACTAGTCCTTAAGAATCCCACAATTTGCACTTCTACGTGAGGAGAAATTCCTGCCTCAAGTCCCCAACAGCTAGTAATGCCACAATTTACCTGTGAAAACGTGAAGCCTCATGTACAAACATATAAGCTTGCAAACTTGAAAACAAGTTTGGGCATCAGTTTCCTTTCTGCTACTGTCATTACATCCCTCACTTGTCTGTTGTGGCTGCTCCATGAGACAGATGTAAAAAAGAAGGATTTACACAGAGCATAAAGATATCTCACAGAAGCCTTCATCAGCCAGTACCATTCTGCAAGTTTAAGTCTCCAACAATTCCTACAATCACTGGCAAGTTCTCTGGAGAAGCTTTGCAAATGGATGCAGATACCTTGCTGACATTCGTGATCTATACAATGTCCGAAGTACTAACGTTGCGCTTCTACTAAAACCAGCCAAAAAGAGCAACTGCAAAAGCGATAAGAGCTGAAAAACACAGAGCACTAGCAGTGCAGTGAGCAGTTCCAAGCGGTGCATAGTCTGCTGTGATAAGAAAGCGTCTAGTTTGAAGTAGAAATGCTTTCTAGCAATCCTGCCTAATGGAAGTGCTAAAACTGACCAAATTTAAGCATCAAGGCAACTGCTCCGTGATGCAATGGAACTTTTCTTTAAAGGTTTCTTGAAGGAAAGTTTGATTGCGATAGATTTGTAGATGATGTAATAAAAGTAGTAAGAAATACACTCAAGGACAAGACTGAACTATGGGACAGGTGTTCCTTATTTCTTTGGGCAAGTACTGAAAAAAGCTATAGTCATCTAAAAATAGAAAGGGGAGGAATACAAAACCAAAAAAGAGACTATTAGTATAAAAATATGCAAGTGAATCAATTTTTTCCCCCTTTCATATAATTTTAAAATTTTTTGTTACGGATAACTTACCATAGAAGTGAGTTGCCTATGAACAGAACAGATACTGCATTCAATAGCGGTCCATTGGTGCACATAGTACTTCTTTTTAGTAAACAAACGTACCTTTAAGCAACAAGCCACATAATTATATTTTGTTCTTAAACAAAGCAAGGGCTCACTAATTAACCAGATAGCAAGGGATGGGGGAATGCAATATGGACGTGCAGCAAAACTTGTATTCTGCAATCACGCATGCAGGTCTACCAAAAAGATTGGTACACAATGGTGATAGCCTCATAAATATGAGAGCGCACTTCGTACATTCAGCACCTCTTTCGTGTTTTATGTTTCAGTGTTTTCGCATATCACTTAGCAAAGGAAAACCAGAAGTCTTTCATAAAGGGAGAAATAGAAATGCCTCAAAGTTGGTAGGTTTCAAGGGTTGATTTCAGCAAAACGCAGGCACCAGAGGCTGAAGCGCTTTACAAATGGGTCAATTTTAAAAAGGATCAAAGCTAACACAAAGCCTTCAATCTGACTTGACACAGTTATAACTTTTGGAAAGCAAGATGGCTCCCTACTGAATTACTTCCTTTCAAGGCAAGTTCTGAAATAACATGCTTCTACTTTTAATACGCATTCAGCTACAGAATTATTTATTTTTAAAAGAACTCCACAGATCACTCTGGTACCCAGGAATAACTGTTTATCGAATAGCACATGTGGTTTATTTTGATCCATGAGCTAGTCAACTCAGTAACAGAAATGCTCAGGTGAGTATCCACCAAATTTAAAGCAAGATACACATTTACGAAAACATTGCTGGCCAGCAACGCACTAGTGGGCTTAAAGTGGTAAAACTGGCAGGCAATGTTACTGCTTGATTATTTTGGTAGGGTAACTAACAAGCCTCTAAAATAGCATTACTAGGAAACATACTACTCCTTTACCCATCCCTTATTCTACAAGTTACCTCCCTTCCAAGATTAAAAGACCAACAAGTTTTAGAAGTAGATGCATCTTTTGATCCTTCAAAACGCTTAAAATGTAGCAACGTACAACATTTATAATTCTTAATGTCCCAACTTTGCAATCAATTCTTAGAAAAATCGTTATCTGCATGTAAAAAATTTGTATCTAAAAGACTAGGTTAAAAGAGTTTGTTTTAGAACAGTTAATGACCACAGGTTGCTGAAAAGACATTGCTCCACTGCAATGAGACTTTAAATAAGTGCAATTCACCTGTATCCTACAGCTCTTCAAAGGTCTACAAAGCAAGCCATTGATCTGAGTCTGCTTAACTTTAGACTGGTAACTTATTTTTTAAGTAACTGTGACACACACAACTTTAAAAACTCTTTTATGTTAATGTACAGTTCAACAGATACCAGTCTTTCGCAGAAAGGAGCAAATATTAATCTTCAAAGTGTAATTAGGAGAAATAGTCATATTCAGTTACCATTTTTGCCAAAGCTTTTGTTCCTCCCCCAAAATCTGCTACATTTGTATTTGAAAATAATTTTAATGTAGTTTCAGCAGCTACCATAAAAGCTCTCAATGAACAATGGGCCATCAGTCCTTCAACCCTGTGATCCAGCTATACAACATATGAAGTGAATTTTATGCTCAGCCACCAACATTCACGTTGCCTTTTCTAACAAACACCCAGTTCAATCAGAAGGTAGCCAGGAGTAAATCCTGCCATCACTAGAAGCTAGGGCAAGGCTGGAGCAGGAATTCAGCTGTGTTGATTTTCTAGCAGCCTCGATTCTCAGTACCAGTTGCAAACCTTTCCCTCTCTGCAAATCTGTCCTGACAGGTTTAAAAAAAAAAAAAAAAAAAGGCTGCTTTTCTATTTAGTTATATCAACAGGACAGAAGCACCTCTTCCTCCTTCTCAAACAACAAAGCAGCTGATTTAAACCACTCCTATTACAGCAGTTTGGGTCATAATGGAGCTTTTGAGTAGTGCTAACCTAATTTGACTGAGCCTGTAGGACAGAAAAAAAGCACTTTTCACTCATCACGACAACCCTTCACCCAGCATGACAGCACAGCAAGCGGGATGACACACTACAGCTTTGCAGGGTGGTGGTGGTTGTTCCCTTCTACACCAGTCCCCAACTAGAGCTCCCACTTGTTTAGGTTTAAGGGGCACACATGAGAACAGAGGCAGACTTGGGCTTTAGAAGTTAAATAAACCTGTAATCTGGCCACATGCCTCAGACTCTTGGTCTTACAAAATCACAGAGGAGAACCCCATAGCCACGTTATTCAGGCTGGCTGGTTCCTTATAGAAGGACTTTTCACCAGGGAATAAGCACTTACCCTGGCACTGACACCAAAATTACTGGAGATTAGCATGTGTTGGTTGAAGAGGAAAGCAGTAGCTACAGTCAACAGAACAAATGCATTGGAAATGAGTTTGTGCAGCGATGAAAGACTTCTAGACATATGAGCCATAAAAGTAGAAGATCACAAAAAATTTTTTTTAACCTCTCCTGCCAGGGAGTCAAACTAAGGTAAAACAACTCTTCCCTTACATAACGTCTGGGCAGTAAGCAGCCGCTCATTCCCCCAAAGATTTGTGTTCGTTTTTCCTCAAGGCCTTACCAACAAGATAAAAGATGCACCTCTCAAACAAGAAGCCCTTTCCACAGTCAAAGGCGCTAATAAAGTGAGATTCCCCATTAATGGGTTAACCCACACTAAGACGTTCCATGGCTTCCATGTGGCCACATGGAAATCCCATGGCAAGCTCCCCCAGAGGGTATCTTACAGTGGCATGCAGGCTGCTATGCATGGGCCAAAGGGATCACAACTTGCAGGCTTATAGACATTTAAACTCAAGCTCCTTCCCCCAGGTTCTCAATTTTTACAAAACTTCCAGGAAACCGAACCACGGAGCCCCTTCAGACTGACTGGGATCAACCAAGAGGCCCAAAAAAATTATTCAAAAAGCGACAGACTGAAGAAACCTCATTTCCATGGGGAAGAAGGGTGAAGATAATCCAAAATGAAAGTCCCTGCTCTGGCTACCTGTTGTCTGCAGCATTTTGACAACAAGATACTGCAAAACAAGTGCTCTCCAGGACCTCTGCTAAAGCGCATGGAAGTCACTCACACAGTCTCATGGTCTTCTCCACTTATCCCAACAGTTCAGGGCTACCCACACCCTATACTAACTTGCTCCCTTCCAAGCAGGCAGTAAAGTGTCCGTATTGTCAGCAGGTTAA